CCATGGTTCCCTGAGAAGGGAACGAGACACTGCGTCCTCTAGTTTCCTTGCCATGCTTCGGACACAAGCTTCAGACGAAGAAGCGGATGACATGTTCTCCCGGCGCCCCTTTATACTGTGGTAGCACCGGTAGTGGCGTCATAGGCTGTCGCCGGCCGACGTGTTGTAGTTTTGAATGTATGCTTCAGACACAGGTCACGCCGAGGCGTTACCCATAGCGACCCCTAGAGGACGCAGTGTCTCGTTCCCTTCTCAGGGAACCATGGTTACATACGTAACCTGAGACGTTCAGTTATAACCAATAATAATAATAATAATAATAATAATTCAGATATTAATACCTGATTCTAGACAGGTTGTTTTTTTTACCCACAGCACCATCCAAATGAAAATAATAGAAGCTGAGTATTATGCACCTGGTAATAAGTTGTAATTCAAGTGTTGCTCAGACTCATTTAATGATGTTCTACTCTTCAGTAATAACTGTTAAACATAAAACATAAACACCTGATGCTCTACAGGACACACAGAGGCCAGCCTGTGTCTACACCATTGTTACCTCACTCTTCATATGCGCCCACTCTAAATCCTCTAAAACCTGTCAGAGAAGGTTATGTGCTTGAAATCAATAAGAGCAACTTATGTTCAAAGTACCTGCGTACACACATAGTCAATTTAGGTGGCTTTGGTTCACTGCACTCCTGCTCATAAATTTCCCTGTTTCATTTCAGCCCACATCAGACATTTTCAGCCTTTTGATAAAGAGGTTTGGTAGTCTCATAACGTCTTAGCCAGGATATTCAGGTCATTAGCCACATTCCTTTCTCTTGGATTCATTCAACAGTGCAATTGTCCCTTATAGAAAGAGAGAGAAACAGAGAGAGAGAGAGAGAGAGAGAGATTTCACAATTTTATTTGATTCTGATTCACAAATGCTTGATTGAGTTTGATTTAATTCTGATTTTGATTTAATATTAAGGTTTTAATTACATTTTATTTAATTAAATTTGATTTAATCAAGGTTATGATTAAATTTTAATCTCTCAGAAATGTTGTAAAGTACAGCAGCCTGTAGAGAACCCTCTTACTTGGTACATTACTGTCATATATAAAAAACAAAACAAAAAAAACCCCAGCCAAAACATTTAAATTAAATCGCTACTTATATTTAAAGAGGTCTACAGAGCCCACTAATATTGGCACCCTTGGTAAATACGAGCGAAGGTGGCTGTGAAAATAAATCTGCATTGTTTATCCTTTTGATCTTTCATTCAAAAAAATTTACAAAATTCTAAACTTTCATTGAAGTAAAACAATGAAAAGTGGGGGAAACTCACATTATGAAATAAATTATTTTCTCTAGTTCACGTTAGACACAGTTATTGGCACCCAATTATTGCAATGTCCTTTTCCCAAGATAACAGTTCTGAGTTTTCTCCTATAATGTCTGATGAGTTTGGAGAACACGATAAGAGACCATTCCTTCATCCAGAATCACTAGATGCTATAAGATATTATAAGACAGGCAGATAGAGGGGTAAAAAACAATAGTAATAAATAATATATACAAATAATATTAATAATACTAATATTAATTATATAAATATACTAATATTAATGAAAATAAACTAGCATTAAAAAGGTTATTTATAACACCATTATGGTTCTATACAGCACTTTCAAAGCATGGTTCTTTATGGAACCCTATAAAAAGGGTTCTATTTAGTACCAAAAAGTTACAAGCTGTTACAAGCTGAAGAACCCTTTTCTGGTACTGTTTAGAACCATTTTTCTTAAGAGTGCAGATCCTTCAGAATACCAGCTCCATGTTGGTGCTTCTTCTCGTCAGTTCACCCCACTCATTTTCTACAGGGTTCAGGTCAGGGAACTGAGACAGCCATGGCAGAAGCTTCATTTTGTGCTCAGTGACACATTTTTGTGTTGATTTTGATGTTTGTTTTGGATCATTGTCCTGATGGAAGATCCAAACATGGTCCATTATAAGATTTATTACAGAGGCAGTCAGGTTTAGATTTTTTATCTGTTGGTATTTGATAGAATCCATGATGCCATGAAAAAAACAGGCCCACAACATTATAGATCCAGCTGTATATTTAAACGTGGACATGGGGTACTTTTTATCCCTGTTTGCACCAAACTCATCTGGAGGGTTTGCTGCCAAAAAGCTCTTTTTATGTTTCATCTGACCATAGAAGCCAGTCCCATTTGAAGTTCCAGTCGTGTCTGACAACTGAATATGCTAGAGTTTGTTTTTGGATGAGCCAGGTTTTTTTTTTTCTTGAAACCCATTTGAACATGTGGTGATGTAGGGGCTGTTTTATTTATTTATTTATTTTTTGTCTTTCTGACCTCAAGATTCAACTACTCTCTGCAATTCTGCAGCTGTGATCCTTGGAGAGTCTTTGGCCACTCAAACTCTGCTCCTCACAGTGCAGGATAATATAGACACATGTTCTCTTCCAGGCAGATTTGTGACATCTTTAGTTGATTGGAACTTCTTAATTATTGCCCTGATGGTGGAAATGGGGATTTTTCAATGCTTTAGCTATTTTATTACAACCACTTTCTATTTTGTGAAGCTCAACAATCTTGTTCTGCACATCAGAACTATATTCTTTGGTTTTACTCCTTGTGATGGATGATTAAAGGAATTTGGCCTTTGTGTTCCTCATGTTTAGAATCCTGTGGAAAAGGAAGTCATGGCTGGACAATTTCATGTTCATAATCACCCTGGTGTCCTAAAAAAATTTAAATATGAATAGGAATATAATTCAGAGATATTTTACTCATAAGAATTCTAGGGGTGCCAATAATAGCCAACATGCATTGCAGAAAACTATATCTAATAAATAAAAGCTGCACAGTGGGTCCCCCACTGCGAAACTAAATTCTGTAACACATGGTATTAGGGCCTACCAAAATATCAGAAAGATATTAAACAGATAGGCCTAATATCTCAATTTAGTGAAACATAGCCTGAACATTACATCGGAAACATGTATCTGAATGTTATCCCTGGGATGACACACTTTATTCAAATAAACATCGATGTAAAGGACTGTACTCCAACAGAAATGTGTACAAAAACACATTCAGAAATAATTGGAATCTATTTGCTTAAATGGTATTTGATATCTTTAATGATGTTGTGTCCATTTTAAAAGACATCGCAAAAAAAATAAGATTAAGTCATAATGTGTTTTGCTGAGCATTATGGACATTCTTCACTCAACATTAGTTGCATGTATATCTGTGCCAGTGATGGTCTGCAGCAGTTTTGAAAGGAGGGTGTATCAGATTTGATCATATTTTGATTGCACTGATGAAACCTGCTCGACAACAAGAGGCATTGCCTCAGAGATGTTAACTGCAACAGCATATGGAGGGATGATGAGACCAGCCTCTGAGGGGGTTTGAATCACCCAGGCTCAGTTCAGACCAGCCCTGTAGCTTCTAGCAGGCGCGGGCAGCTTGTGAATTACAGGGCCTTAGAGAATAATGTTCATTCAAATGGATGGGCAGGCAGAAGCAGTACAAAATGGATGGCAGTAAAACATGGATTCCCTCAAATAACATTTGATAGAGTCTTTCTCTGAGCCCTGACTCTTTTAATTGTTTAAACACAATTGTTTTCATATTCCACTGAAACTCAAGCTGTTAAATGCAGACATACTAAAAATGACTAATACAAACATGTTTGAAGTTGCAGAGGTCACATCCACAAGAATTCTTGCGAAGTACAAAAGGCCATTGAGACAACAGTGCCATCTCCTGGCTATATGACCTGAATTGTACATAACACTGTATATATGGTTTGAATCTCAATCGTGTGCCTAGTACACACAAATCCAGGGTCAATAATACCATAAATCAAAAGCATAATATTTAACAAACAATACTAAGACCTGTTAAATTGATCCAGCAGCAGCTTTGAGTCATTAAAAGAATCGACATGGCCATTCTGATCAGTTCATGAGTTCATGAACAATATAAAATATATACTACTATTACTGTTTGTTGACAAAGTCCTGAAAGTAGACAAAGAGAACCCAATCAAACAAATGAGACAAAAATATTGTGTGTATATATATTTAAATTATATTATACATATTAAAGGATGCATTCAATTCAGTGACATTTCAATGGAATTTATAATATTAGAAAACATTTATATTTCAAATAATTGTTCATAAAAAAATAAAACATATTTAAAATGCTGCTCTTTTGAACTTTCTAGTCATCAAAGAATCCTAGAAAAAAAAATTAAACAAGTTTCTTGAACACCAAAGTCGGCAGATTAAAGGACCATGGTCCTTTTTGAAGGACCATGTAACAATGAAGACTGGAGTGGCTGCTGAAAATTCAGCTTTGCCATCACAGGAATAGATTACATTTTAAAATATATTAAACAGAAAACAGCTATTTTAAATTACAATAATATTTCACTATATTACTATTTTTACTGTATTTGTAATCAAATAAATGCAGCCTTGGTGAGCAATTCTGTCAAAAACATAAAAAAAAAAAAAAAAACACGTGCACAAAACCAACAAATATACAGTTATAACTCTATCCCCTGGTTTCACAGACAAGGCTAAAATCCTAGACTAAAATGTAAGTCTGAGCTGTTTCAACTGAAAGAAACTTGCACTGACTGATCTTAAAATATATCAGCGCCTTTGTTTTATCTTAAGATGCACACCAGTAATGTTTTCTTCTAAGTACGTTCATAAAAATGACTTAAATGTCCTAATTGAACTATTGGCCTAATCCTGGCTTAGTCTAAGCCCTGTCTGTGAAACCGGGCCTATATTTCTAAGCAATTTTAGCTTATAACCACTTTTATTTTATAGCAATTTCATTTGAATACAAACAGCTGCCAAATTAGGCAACAAATGTTAATCATGACATTATGATGCCATTGTTGCTAAGCATCATAGCATCCACACAAAAAGAAGAATGGCATGCAAGCCATTATTCTTACATTGCATTCTGTTTGCAGGTAATTGACATTACACTTTGTAAAAGAAAAAAAAAAAACAATTACTGAAAAGAATATTGTTGTGAACATCATAGATTTTGTGCAAAAATGCATTAAGCATTTATTATTTTGAAAACATAGTGGTAACATTTGGTAACTTTACAGACTTAAATGTATCAAACAATGCCTTTATCTTCAGTAGGAAGAGCAGAGGGTTCCAGGCCACACTGTTTCATCTGCACAGCTATGTCAAATAAGTAGTCATAACATTCACACCTGAAAAAGAATACAGATTTAAAAAATAAATATTGTATGCATACACAGAATATAGCCATGAGGTGTGCATTTCATTTCCTATAGCCTCACATTGTCTTTGCTTTCTCCCAGGTCTCTCCCCAGACGTAGACCCCATGTCTGCGGACGAGAACAGCGCAGGAGTCGGGGTACATGTCCATGGCTCGGGCCATGCGCTCTTTTAAGTCTTTCTCCTCTGGGGTGTTCTCAATAATTGGAACAACTAGAGTGTCATCATACCTGAGTCAAAACACATACAAACAGAAAGTAAAAGCAGGAATTAAGATGCTGACATTACCATCACAACTGTTCGTTTTTGGATGAACTACTATAGGACAAGAAAGTGTTACATATTACTAATGTAAAATGGCAAGAGTGAAGCCTCTTAGCAGCAAGTACAACCTGTAGTTTGTACCAGAGTTTCCTTTTCGAATCCCCTTGATCATCTCTTGATGCGTGATGCGGAATTCCTTGCCAGGAAACATGAGAGTTGCCATGACAGCAGACTTTGAGTGTGTATGGATAACTGCCTGAGCTCCTGTGGAAAAGAAATGCCAATGTCTTTTAAATAGAGTACAGAACAGAAGCAACCCACTGTGTGTGAACAGGTACCTCTCATTGTGTAGGCGTTCATGAAGAGGGGCGTGCATTGGCTTTTCTTCAGCTTTTTCTGTGGAGGTGGACAACTGATGTCCTTCTCATCAATATCACACACAAACAAGTCATCTGGCTATAAACAGGAGTGGAAAGATAGTTTGTTGGCGTTATTTCATTACATGCCGCAACAGGGTAGTATGACGCAATAATAATAATAAAAAAAAACGTACTTGTATTCTCTCCTTCTGAACACCTGAGGGAGCTATATAAATGTGCTCACTGGAAGAAGAAATAATTATACATTTCAATAAATTTCATACATTTGCAAGTATATGGTACAAGCATGTTTTTAATTTCTCACATAAAAATCAATTTGAAGGGCATTAAAGTAAACCTAGGAATGAAAATTCTGTCATCGTTTACTCACCCTCATGTTCTTCCAAACCTGTATGACTTTGATTCATCTCTAAAACACAAATTTAAATATTTTTATTGAGACCCAAAAGGTTTCGGTCCCTCTATTGAAGGTCCAGGTAACCAAAAAGGTTATAAAGGCATTGTAAAATTAATTCATATGAATCAAGTGGTTTAATTCAAGTTTTGTGAAGAAGTATGATTGCTTTATCACTGCAGTCACCCGGATCCAGTACATATTCAGGCACTTCATTTCCGGCGATATCGTCGCCTTGATTGCACAGATACTATTTAAACTGAACTGAGCTGGATGATGACATCACTGAATTCAATGATGAACTGCCTTTAACTGAAAAATGAGTGTTTACTATTGTCATTTTGCATTATTGACACACTATTTTCCTAATTAATGCTGTTCAGTTGCTTTGACACAATCTGTATTGTTAAAAGCGCTAAATAAATAAAGGTGACTTGACTTGACTTTATATGATGAACAGATTTAATTTAGGCCTTTATTTGAATGGTCGATGCACATACATGTATAGTGCATTACATATGGTACACAAGGAAGCTTGTGCATGTGTCTTAACTTTTTTGGACCTTTTAAGATTTGGTTACCTGGACTCTTAATGGAGAGACAGAAACCTTTTAATGAGTGTTTTGCGGTCTTGTGTGTTTTTGAACAACATGAGGGTAAGTAATTATTGACAGGATATTCATTCTTGGGTTTAAGTCACAAACATCATGGATGGATGGATAGACAGATTAATTAATTCATTTAAAAAAGGGAAAATATTTCAGAGAGGACATCTGCAGACTGTGTCATGGTCAAGATATATTAGCATTTTTTACACCACACAATTTTGTCATCATAAAATATAATATTTGGGAGAAAAGTCGCTCTGTGAGAATTTGGTACATCTGTTTTTAAGACCTTTCCATTTCTTTATCATAAACACTTTTCACGTCACTGATCCACATAGCAAGTGAATGTTGAGGAACACAGTGGATTTTATTATTGTTGTAAACTGCCTTGACTAACCCATGCCGCAGGCTTATTCCTCCCCCGGTTCCTGTCACCCAGCCCAGCTTATAGAAGAGTCTGCAGAGCCCTGGGATCAGCACACGAGGATGGTCCTTATCCTTAAACAATAATATAAGATCTGTTACTGCACGGTCACCACCATAACGCACACTCCTGATCAAATCTTTAATGCTGTTGTCTCGATAATAAGGAAGCTTATAAGATTCTGGAGAAACAACGATATCGAATATTTCTGATTCCACAAAACCAGGCACAAGGGCATTATATTTATAGTTTTACCCCTATTTCCTTTCCGTTGCACTCCGCTTGTACAGTGTTTATGATCGACGACATTCTTAACACACTGAAAAAGACTGTAAAAATAATGCTGAAAAGACTCAAGCTTCTATGATTAATATTTCAGTTCGTTTCGAGGCGCTAATCAGCCCACAACAACTCAAAACCAACACCTGATGCAACAACAAGCGCTTAGCAACGGAAGAAGGAAGTGCAGATCTTTAAAAGATAAAAGACCCCCAAACAAGGAGGTAGGCATGTGTCAAAAATGTCAACACACACACACACAGTTAAACAGTCTATGGTTTGCTTAGCTACCTAATCGTGGACATTGCCTAGACTTTTATCGTTTTTATACAGCTAGATAAACCTAAGCTTAACAGAAAACTTTCTGCATTTTTACAATAAAAATATTATGGTCAAGTAGGTACAAACATTAGCTTAAACAATTGGGTACAATTCATTGTACGCAGGATTGTAAGCAAAATAAGAGTTTTGGATAGAAGTCAATAATATGATATGACATCTAGTTTTTCATCTTGTGTATATTTCCAGATAACTGGATTATTAAACGAATTTCAAGCATTGATAAGCATGTGTATTTTACACGATAAATGACTAATTGGCTCCCTCCTACTTCTCAGGAAGTAACCAGTCGAGCCGGTTCACAAATCGAACTGAATCGAACTTTAGTTCCAGGTTGATGACGCAGGACGCATATGGGATTACATCTCTGCCGCAATTCTGTGCGCGAAAGATCATATTTTGAGCGCGCAAAAGTGCGTTTTGCACGCGCGCGAACTGAGTTTTGTGGAGAAAATGTTTGTCTCGCAAAGAAGAAAGTATTTCGATTTGAGCGCACAAAAGTGCATTTTGCACGCGCGCGATCTGAGTTTTGTGGAGAAAACGTTTGTTTCGCAAAGAAAAAAGTATTTTGAGCGCACGGAAATCAATTTTGCATTTAAAATAAGTTTTTGGATGTGTGCAGACTCTTTTGCGCGTGCAACGTTTCACCATCTTGCTCACCTGATGCCCGCCCTCAGTGCTCTCTAAATGCCAACAGTTGACTTGCTCAACACAACCCAGCCTTACAATATGCCATAATTCCAGCCAATCAGAGACGAGGCGGCTAAATTCTGATTGGCTGCCTTGACAACCACTCACAGTATGTCTTGCATTACCACGACAGCAGAAGAGGAAAAATACAGTGCATGCATAATTATTATGCAAGTTCATAGATGTCCTGCAGAGTTTAGATCCAACCCCAATTAGACACACCTGAACCAGCTAATCAAGCTCTTACTAGGCATACTAGAAACTTCCAGGCAGGTGTGTTGAGGCAAGTTGGAGCTAAACTCTGCAGGACACCGGCCCTCCAGGACCAAGTTTGGGCACCCCTGCTATAGACGCACAGCCGAAGTAGCACATCCAACTCAAAAAGAACCGAATGAGCCGGTTCAACTAACTGTCGAAGTTTGCCGAGGATTACCGAGGACCAGTGGTGGTCCATTTCTGGAATCTGCATCTGAAATAGCATTTAGATGTATTTACACAGTTTATGTATCTCAGAGAGGACATAGATGCATTTAAACTGCAGTTACACATAAATGGCCCAATGGCCTAATGTAAAAAGGCCTAATGTTTTGTCTTTAACATAAAAAGTTGAATACTGATATTTGAAATCATTTAAAACATGAAAAAAAAGTCGAAATGTGACATTAAAACCGCCAGTAGGTGACAGCAAGTTGGTTAATCAGTGAGTCATTGAGATTCAACCGATTCATTCAAACAACTGATTCATTCAGAAACAAAGCATTTGACTGTGTTAATGAGTGAATCACTGAATCACTTATTCAACCGATTCGTTCAAAAGGCTGATTCATTCAATAAGTAAACACCGTCCATTGGCCAGAGACGCAAAACAGTGCTGTGATCTAGTGATGGGAAAATGAAGCTTTGCGAAGCACCGAGGCTTTCCCCTCAACTGTATCGTAAAAAGGTTCATTACTCGAAGCTTTTCAAGACGGTGCACACTAACGACATCTTGTGGTGAAAAGGTGGAAAAAGCTGCTTTTGCGTCCCAGACGACCCAGCCATTTTTGGACTGTTCCAGATAATAAATTAGTTTGTGCTATGAAAACCTGTATAAAGCAAAGAAAATACGGTCTATATAAATAAGTCTTCATGTCAGTCATTGTATTACACAATATGAATACATGAGTCTGTGAATAAATTTGCGGAAAATAGGCAAGGCTGTAGGCATATATAATAGGCTATTATCAAAATAACCGAAGATTATCATAGAATGGTCAGTTAAAGTGTCTGAACCAGGAATTAATACAAAATGAACATGCACAAAACTACACATGCAAATATTTATTTGTATTATGATTTATTCTATTCAAAGTGAGGGACACCTAAAACTGCGCAAGTGGTTCGCGTTATTTGAATCAGAATACAAAGCAGTCACGTGGTTGTGTGCGAAAAC